CCCCCCCCCCCCCCCAAAAAAAACCCAAACAAGGCTGATGTAAGGCTTAAAGCAGGAGTTACCTAATCACTCACAGTAACATGACTTTGCACTAACACTGGGGCGTCTCCGTTCAGGTGGATAATTTTAAGTGCATCTGTGCAGCGGTGAGAATGATTCAGGCATGACATTTCAGCTCACTGGAAAGCAGCTGAAATGCTGAGAATGGAAGTAAATACTAAATTGTTTTTTTCCCCTCCATGTGGACTATTCTTCTGCAAAAACTATACATTCAAACAACGTTCAAAATTCTTAAAGGCTAAATAAAATATAGTGCAGTCTGTAAGAATTGGGATAGCATTGTTTTCCTTTGCATTGGATTTGAAATGGAACAGCAGCTATGAGGTCATTTGTAATATACTGTGATCGAGACTATATTTCTTCCCATAGATTCAAGTATTACACCACCATACTGTTGTGTTGCAGAGCAGCTGCGCCTAGATTTCCCCCCTCTTAAATTATTTTCTAGTGTGGATGAATTATGTTTGTTTGATGAAATATTCAGTGATCCAAACTCCACACAAGTTTGCAATAGGCGTATTTCAATGCAGAACACCGTTTGTGAACTATTTTGAGCATCAACACACCATAATGTTTTGGTTTTTTTTTTTTTTTGCCTCCTCGCTGTGCTGCTTCAGGTCCTGCTGAGTCCTGCGAGAGGTAATAAAACTGTCTACGGCGCAGCATGCCTTGGAAAACCTGAGGATGGAGAAATTTCTGCAGAGCCTCATGAGACGACTCTCTGTCTGTATCCCCCAAATAAGCCTTGACATGTAATTCCCCTCACCTTGCCACCTCAGGGCTCTGTTGTTCAACAAACAGTCTGTTTAGCTCAGAGGTCACTTCAAGCTTCCCAATAACTTTTTCTAGACAACTTAAAGGGTATTTTACTTTTTTATTTTATTTACCCACATATCCTATTTTTTATTTTTCTGTCCCCAAGGGCAGTGCACTGTTGACTAAGCAGCCAGTCAGCATCTGTTTCGGCTCACCTCCATTAGTTTCCTGAGTGACTAACGTCACCGGTAGCACATCCCCCCCGGATTTCTCCACCTCGCCCTCCCCTTAATCTCCCATCCATCGCTCCAAATCAAGGCTCAGGTCGCTGTGCCCGTGGCCTGCTGGCACATCACTCATTATACTGTGAAGTTTCAATTGCCGCCTGACCTCTTCCATCCAATTTCATGGCTGCTTGTGGTGGGCCAGTGCAGCTCTGCTCTGAGACTCTATAAATGAACCAACATTTGGCTCAAGGCCACGACTCATCTCAGCAAGACGACGTGAGGGAAATGAATTTAGTTGAAATGAATGTCAAGCCTTGTTACTTTACCTCTTGGTTAATATGGTTTGGGCACTCAAGAGTCCTGGCTTTCCCTCTTCCCCCTCATTCTTATTTCAAAAGCACTCTCACACAAATAGTGGAGAGGGAAGCGCTTCAGTGCACTGCTAATAAAGAAAAGAAACCATCTATGGCTTTGGAAAATAGAAAATCTCAACTTAATCCAATTGGAACAGTGTTTGCTGGTCACAATTTGTCTCCAAGGGGTATTTTGTGAGCTAAATTTTCAATAACACGCAGCTTTGCTTCGTTGGGGAGCTGTATCTCATTCTCAGGGGCTGTTTCTCAGAAATAAACTACAAACACATCAACTTTCTTCCATGTCTTTGATGCAGACTCAGATTGTCTCCGTCTGTCACATCATATATTTCTCTGTACTCTATCTTCTGGAAAATGCTGTTATGATTATTAATCTAGCGTGCGCAAGCCTGATGATTTATTAATTGAAGTTCAAGTGTCAGAATGATCATGTATGATCATTAAACAGTTGTCACGTTGAATGTAGTGCTAGTCCTTTAAGCAGCAGTTGTTTGATTTCATCAGTAACATTTTCTAGCTAAGTGATGTTTATCTGCAGTAGCTGTGTGTGTGGGTCGCTTGTCCCTGTTGTTGTGCATTAGTCAGGTTTTCAGGCTCAGGCCACATTCCTTCAGGCCCAATTACATATTTATAGATTGAAGGCCACCATATGGCATGAGTTGCTCAACGGAGGAGAGAGGTAACGAGTAAATGGAGCATTGGTGGCCAACTGTTCTTTTCGTGTTGGTGTGTGGACGTGCAGTGAATGTGATTCAGGATCTGATTTATTGGGATTAGATTGATTGAGCTCTGATCGAGGGGGTGCAGTGGTAACATACAAATAAAAACGTCCAGACTACGGTCAGATGGGTCACTGATAAGGATGCGTATTAAAGAAACATTCTGGGAAATACGTTTTTTTTACCGACAGGCCTTTACACACCGGGGCATTTAAAAAACAATATTTGTACGTCAATATATTTTGTCAAACTTTTGTTTTTGTCATTAATACTTTTTACAAAGAATGCAAATATTACGTGGCTAAAAAGGGACGTCATTTTTCTGTTTGATTGAGCTTTCGCCCCATGAATAAAGGCATCGACCAATCGCATTGTGCTGAACAGACATATTAAATACATACACTTGTATTGTACAACAACACAGAGGCTTTCGGGGTGTGAACACAGAGCCATATAAATTATTAATTACCATACAAGAGGGCAAACTTTATTACTCCTTTCCACCCTTGACAAATGCAGCACAGACCAGATCGACTCCTTCTTACCTTTCACAATAAAAGCTCTAGATATATGCACTGCGTAACTGTTTACCACAGGGAACTCAATCAGTAAAAGTGAAAAGAGTAAAATATACAAGTTAATTAGTATATTGTACTAGCAACGAGCAGTAAACTTAACACATCAATAATCACAAAACAGCTATAATAGTTAAAGAAACAACAACGGGCGTTTGGGTAGTAAACAGAAGATGCTTGTCAATATTTACTCTGTCACAGGTCTGACAAGATGGTGGATGTAATAACATCAGTTAAACTGCAACTGGTATGGAACTGTGCCTGTAGTGTTTGCTACTGGCGACACAATGTTCAACTGAAACCAACTGCTTACCCGTTACTTTGTCGATGCTTTTATAGTAATGCTACATACCAATACGTACTGGTTTTAGCCTAATGCAGAATAAGTACGAAGTAATCATTGCACCTATTAGAGCATTATTTAGGGCACTAACTGTAAGTGATTACAGTTTAGTATAAATTGGATGCAAAGTAATTTCTTTTGTGTTTAATCAAATGTCACCATAAAATGGATTGCTGGCACAAACGGGCTTTATTCACTGGTGTCGTCGTTCATTTAAACTGCTGCAGTACCGTAGGTGACAACTTTCCTCTCAATTGTGTCCACAGCCAGTGAAAACTGCCACGACTTCCACCCCATGTTCTTCACCCACGATCGCTCCTTTGAGGAATTCTTCTGCATCTGCATCCAGCTGCTCAACAAAACCTGGAAGGAGATGCGAGCCACAAGTGAAGACTTCAACAAGGTACACTGC